GTCATTAGCACCTCTAGTAATATATTTACTGAGAAAAATGGTGACGGGTTCAATATTTATTTTACCCGCTGTGTATTTAGAGTCATCATTTTAATAGGAGAATCATTACGATTGTTGGAAGGGCAAAAATCAACACAATTATCCTGCCCAGCAGTAGTTAAGAGTAGTAGGGCTTTTGTTTGCTTCAAGTGTAAAGTATTTACATCCTTGGCAGTTTTGTTCACAAAACATTCAAGCTGGGTTTTGTGCAGTTGATTGGACAGCTTGCAATGCAGAACAAATATAGAWATTCAGCTGGCAGCACAGCAGTCAATTGCACAGGTCATGTCAGGTCAGGTTACTCAGTGGWGCTGTTACCTCCAGCTCGTCGTTTGAACTGAAACCAGCTGCTGTGCTCCTCATTTCAGTCGCTGAGCAACAATATCACAATACATAGCTTCAAGTTTCACAGAGATGGTCACTGATTGGTATAAATGGAACCTATGTGAACAAGATAAATACAGAATCCGTTTATACAATCTGTTATCAAACCATTTTTCTGATTGAGATTTTTTTTCTTTTGAGTCAAAATTTAATGATGGAAACAATATTTCAAGTGCACCCTGTAAAGTCTGTTTAGACCACATCTAATACAGTAAAGTAGTCATGGCTGTAGATAATGTTTTGTATGGGAGAAAATCCTCTGCTCGTGTTTGAATTCATGTAAAATGCTTGGGCAGATGGATGGAAAATATGAAAACATACAGCATCCCCTCACTTCACAGCAGAGACCTGCTCAGACGGACATAAATAAAGGCTGCATTTCCCTTATAAGTCGATAAATGCCAATGTTAAATCTTAAGTCACCGAGAGCTAAATGAACCACTATATAGGCACTGCTCCCAGTATAAATAACACTGACTGCCTTATGCTGACATGTTTGAAAAGTATTAAACTATAAAAAAAACTAATAAATCAAATTTTATCACTTTAGGAGGGAGTGGAACAACAAATGATTTTTATTTCCTTGTGAGAATTTTAAACAGCTTTTTCAAATAGGCTCGACTTCATTCTAAATGGTGGATGCAAATTTTCAAAAACCTCTGATTTTCTCTGATCAAACTCAGTTTAATCAAATCATGTACAATTTTAGACCAGAGTAAAACTAACTTGAGTTGGCTGAAGGGTTTTCTACAAAAATAAATGAAATAAACAACCCATTACCTAAAATGTTAAAATGTAACTATATATGCAATCCAAAGCCGGTGATAACAGATTTGTCCTGAGCTATGTCAACAAATGAGTGCACAAGTCTAACTCAGGAATCAAAAGGTGGCTCATTTTTTCACAACTACAAATGTAGGCTTTACAGCTACCAAGGGATCCGTTTCCAACATCTTTTTCGCCTTGTTCCAAATGAGGTGCAGTAGTCTGGAAGCACATTCTTCCTGTAATCTGAAACACACCTTGCAAATAATCATTAAAGTGTGGCTTCTTCATTTCTGCAAAAGGCATTTAAGTTAAGCTTAAGCAATTAACAACAAGATTTATCTTTGCTTGATTACACAATTTGTTGCGTTAACCTTTACAAAATTCCACAAGCATATGCCTCGTTCCTCTCCTTTGAATAAAAAATACATTGCTCTGGAATACAAAAAAGGAACACTGTAGTTGCAAAACACAGTTTAGTATACTGAAGTTGTAAAAGTATACGGACAACAAAGGAAGGAGGTGATCAGAGTTGCATTATAGACACCTTTTTCCAAAAAAAAAAAAAAGAAAATCTAGCAGTGGACACATAACTTTCACATAACTCAGAATTATGACCAGTGGTCATTAAACTTGAATGTCACTGAGCTGCTCACCCACTGTAACAGCGGCACTTCTTTTATCTATTTTGATGTTGAGTACAGTTATCTAAAGATTCTAGCAGCAGTTAAAGTATTTCAGAATTTTGCCAATTTWATAATAAAAAAGGACATTTTGACATATTTTCTGCTTTGGACAGAAAATAATGACWTAGCTTAACTGCTTCTTGTTAGCTATTTTTTATGCAACTCTAATACATTCTGTGCATGTTTTGCAGAGATTAATTGTGCCACCAGGGCTTAGATAAAGTAGGTTAAAACAGGGATTCTAAAAGATGTAGCTGACTGCTTATAACGTATTGTAGGCCTAATTTAGAGATAATCACTGGAGAACAATTATCTAATGGTGCACATTCAAAGTGGTGAAATAGACATACAGACAAGGCAATGCACTGATATTTTGCAAAAAATCTAATGCAGTATCATCAATAAATTTAGCCTCTATGGTCAACCTCTTTTCTCCCCTCACTCTCTCTCCTTGACTGTTCCTGTTTTAATTCAAGAGGCCAAAGGAGTTAAACACAATCAATCAATTGAAAAAAAATAAAATAAAATAAAATAAAAAAATCAAAGTGACCCTCTTCCTCCTGTTTCACATCACACCAGAAATGATGTGCTTCACCGTAATAATTTCTGTGTCTCGCGCTAGCTGCGTGGCTGATTTTCACATTTCAAGGTTCATAGTGCTGGCACAGAAGAGTTATTA